CGGTGCCGAAGTGCTCGACTCCGGCGGGGAAGAAGGACGCGGAAGCACTGCAGGTAGCCCTGACGTCTCTCAACTCCCACCTGTTCACCGAGATTCTTAATCCCAAGCTTGAGCCCAAGCCCCATGTGTGCCCTCAATGACACTCGCGAAGCACTGAGACTGTCTGACAGCTGTCCGGTAGGCCTTGATGACGGCTCCGACGACTCCGGCGGGGAGGAAGGACGCCCGAAGCACGGCAGACCTGACAACTCTCCACTCCAACCCTCAACCGAGATTTTTGATCCGAAGCTTGAACCCAAACCCATGTACCCTCAATGACACGACCAAACTGAGACCGTCTCACAGCTGTCCGGCAGGCGTTCATGGAAGACCCGAAGACAGTGGAAGTGGAAGGTCCCCTCTGGCGAGAACACTGGACTAGGAGGCTGCCAAACTTGAGTCGGGCGAGGTAGGGTCGTGCGCACAAAACATCCCGCATCCGTAAACCTCAACAACCCAAAACCCTAAACCCTGAACCCTGAACCCTAAGCCCTAAACCCGAAACCCTAAACCCTGAACCTAAACCCTAAACAGCCCGAAGCCCTAGAACCTCAACCCCAAAAAGCGAGGAGCTCACAGCCTCGCCCGCCTCACGCTTGGGGTTGTTTCGCGTGTAGGGGGTTGGGGGCTCGTGCAGGTCGAGCGGGCTGAGCCCGCAGATGCCGCGACGTGATACAGAGGCCAGTTAAGGGTTTATGGTTAAGGGGTACAGTGTTTCTGCTGGCTTTTGGCCTGTGGCTTTTGGCCTGTGTCCACCTAAATCCTAAACCCTAAACCCTAAACTGTTAACCGGGGGCGCTCCGGGCGCCCTAGGGGAGGACAGCCCTCCTCGTCTTGTGAACGAAATCTAGCTTGGTTTAGGGTTCGGGGTTCAGGGTCGAGGGTTTCAGGGTTTCAGGGTTTCAGGGTGCTCCCTGCCGGCCTGCCCAAAACTCCCAGCGTAGATGTTCAGAACTTCCTGGGACCCCTTCCCCCTTAACGACGCCCGCCCATCGTTTAAAGCCTAAACCCTAAACCTTAAACCCTGAAACCTAAGCCCTGTCAAGAAGACGTGGCTGGGCCTTTATGTTTAGCTCCCTAGTTCTCAGCAGGAGCTTTTAGCCCCTTGATTCTTTTCAAGAGGTGTAAGCAACCATGGACCTTGGGGGGGCCCATTTCAATGACCCTTTCTAAGCCCTAAACCCTGAACCTTCAAGCCCCTGTACTCCATCCTGAAGGAAGGCAGTGGCCCGATTCGCTCTGAGCTTGAGGGTTGTAGGGCAGCTCTGACTTTGCTGGCGCACATGTTGGGTAGGTACATAGATATGCATATGTGTACCCATGTACAGAGAGAGAGTTATCTTTGTAAACAGATATATTTATGTATATATAACTATACATGTATAGGTACATGTGGTATGTGTATATACATGTATATAATTATATACATATACATCTATACATGCTATGTTACTCTTGCAAAACTCTAGCTGGAGGGACCTGCAATACTCTAACTGTAGGTAGGGTTCGGCTTTATGGGGTTTGGGCTTAGGGTTCCATAGCCCCATATACAACCCGAGTCAGTCCTCCAACTCTCACACAACCCAAATCAATCCTCAAGCTGTCACCCTCATGGCTTCGGGCGATGCAGAGACTGGCGGGGGCCAGTTGCTGCAACCTACACGCAGGACCAGAACATACGAGGACCATGATGTGGGTGATTTTGCCATAGACATTTCGGCCTGTCCGGCGATTTTTCCGACTGATGCGGTAAAGCATGCGTTCAAAGCATCTTGCAAGAAGTGGATGGATGGGGAGCGGAAAGACTGGCAGCTGGGCAAGCTGACTACTCCACGCCGAACTGCTGGAGGGGAGTGGCGAGCTGAGTGCCGCTGCATGGACTGCGCAGAATGCCATGCTGGCAATGGAACGGTGCTTCAGTTTCGTGCCACGCCTGAAGAGCCGGACAACAGCAATGTCCTCAATGTGCGATTGACTGTGATGGTCTCTGGCTCTTGCAGCGGAACCCCGCGCAAGCTGAAGTCCGATGCTGTCGACCGACCGAGCACGACTTTGACACGCAGGTGTGTCATGCAGGCGGTCGAATCTTTGTCACAGTCGAAGGAGTCGGTCACACCGACCCGCGTCGCACGAAAGATTGCAGCACGGGGAGATGCCGAGCTGATAACGAACCCTTCGTCCCTTCGGTACCTCGCGAGGACCTGTTCCAAGAAGGCGGGGGTGGACGATTGCCGAGGCCAGGATAGGCGTCAAAAGCAGCAAATCGCGAGGTCTGTGTCCAAGCAAGAGTGGGATTTGTACGTGCAGGCCAACTCAGGCAACCAAGGCAAAATTTGCTTTGCTGCAGCTTTGCCTAGCGGCTCCTTCGTTCTGACGCTGCCTCCGATCTTGGACGAGCTCTGCGCGCTACACAGCGCTGGTGCGCTCCCGCGCCTGTACCTGGGCGCTGACGCGACGTGGAAAGTGGAGGCAGATGATTTCACGCCGCCCGATACTGATGTCTGGCTTAACGTTTGGTGTTTAGGGTCTTGTTTCTGTGGCTATCTAGTGCTGTTTCTTTCGATGTGCGTCAGAAGAAACTCAAACCTGAAGCCCATGAGCTGCTGGCAGCATTCCCCCATAGACCGGTCAGGTACTACGTGATCACGGCGTCCGTGTACAGGTGCCTGGACGAGCGCTGGCGCCGCTCGGCGTTGCCTCTTGCTGTGGCTCGGCATCCCACTGAGCGGCCTGAGGTGTACAAGCACGCACTGAGCGCTGTGGCTACGGAGCTTCAGCGACGCCAACTTCCGCCTCCAAGCCAGATACATTCTGATTGGGCGCCAGGTCTGGCTTCGGCAATAAGGGAGGCAGCCGGCCAGAATGTTCTTCACTCGCCTCTTCACGTGCCCGATATGGAACATATGATTGCAAACATCACGACGAAGAAAAAGACAACCGCTCTGGATGGTTCAGAAATTCGGGTTCCGAGGATGAAGAGTCGTGACGTGAAAGTGGTTCCGCCGTACCTACACACCATGGCCCTCCTACCAACTTCCGGCCTTTTCTTGGTTGCACTTCGCACATTCTTGACACGCATCAAGGATGGCTGGGAGGAGCCAGCGTTTCACGACTATATCATCAATCAATACCTTTATCGAGCTTCACTCCGGCCAGCCGTTGTCGGTGAAAGTGAAGCTTGGGCCGCCAAATGGTGGCACGGGGCCTCAGGGCCAGTCGCAGCTGGCTTTCCACCGTCCCAACAGACGGTGGAACAGAGTCACCGCCACTTCAAGCGTTGCATCACCGATGCGCCTGGCAGAACTGTGATAGACGTGCTGGAGTCCCTCAAAGAGGTCGTTGCTCTTTGGACGTCCACTCGAAGTTCCGAGGCAAAGAGCTACACTCTCTTGACCCCCACTGGCTGCACGGCTGTTGTCCCTACCCGTCCCGATGGCTGGATGTTGCGTGGTCTGCCGCTGCACCGTCTCCGAGCTCCAGGGGGAGTTCGACTTCTCCCAACGATCAAACGAATTTTGGAGGCCAGAGGGCCAAAGCCTGCTCGGAACCCGAAGCCGAACCTTTATTGTTGTAAAAAAGGTTGCGGGTATAGAGGTAGGAGTTGCTGGAGAATCTTCATGCCCTAAACCCTAAACCTCTTAGGTGCAGAGTGAATGTACGGGGAAAGTAGGGCTTATACAAGCAGGGGCCCCTTAGTTCTAAGTAGAGTGATAAGGACCTTAACTCAGGTTATAAGTCCTTTAATTCTAGTTACTATACTAAGGGGGCCCCTCCTTGTAGGGTTTCCGGGGTTTATTGTTGTCGGGTTCCTAGGTTTCAACCTGAGTTGCAGGACTCGCGACGCAACCCTTCCTTTATCGTGGAGAAGGTCCGTGGCAATCCACAAACCCGCGTTTTCATCATGAAATGTGGCATGCCAGCAGAAATGGACACTGGGACTGTCGAGAAGATATGGCGGCACATCAACACCAAAAATCTTACAAAGTTGGAAGACATGATGATCGAAGATGGCCTCATCGTGCAGATGCAAGAATCCAAGAAGCTGGCGCTTGATGCTCTTCGGGCGCTTTACTTTGACAACTGCTGTGTCTATCACCCCCAGGACGGTCGAACACATTGCAGTTGTTGGCATTTCAGAAGACGGGCTCACTGCCCACACGCGTGGGCTATAAGAGCCCAGCTGAAGCTTGAAAGTTTCCCCTCCGAAGACTTGCCTGCGGCGACGGAAGCGCCGCTCACATGGTTGGATGCGGATGGCTCCTCGAACGAGGATGTTCGGAAAAAGGCACCGCCGAGGAGTCGGAAGCGAAAGAGGCCAGAGTATGAGCCAGTTGCAGTTCCTGATGATCGTCCTGCGCCCGTGACACCCGTCGGAGAGCGGCTTCCACAGCGGCGTACTCCAAAGGTGCTGCCTGCGCAGAAAGCTTCTAAATCCCCTTTTGGGAAGCGTTAGAGCGGCGTGCTCCGAAGGTGCTGCTGCCACAGACAGCAAATCCCCTGTAGGGCTTCAGGGGATTGGTTTCGAGTTTCGAGAGTGGCCAAAAAAGTGTGGTTCTGACTTCCACATCAGTTAAGCCCGCCCAAATCCCGAAACCCTATAAACCCCATACCCTAAGCCATAAGCCTAAAGATTGGGTACTTGTCGCAGGTGGCGTCTTACGTACGGTTGAGGGTTCAGGCCTAAACCCTAAACCCTTGGTTCAGGGTTTAGGGTTTGGGCTTTAGGGTTTGCGGTTTTCATATTTATTTAAGTACCTCGATGTGAGCCCGAAACCCTAGGCCCAAAAATCAAAAACGCTTAAACCTCAACTCCGCCCTGCAAGCAAGATAGGGTTGCGGCCGTCGTGATAACCCCCCCGTACGACCCTTCCATTCCAGCAGGCAGGCTACTGACCTTAACCGATAAGCGGACAACAGAGTCCTTCCAATGGCAGGTCCCTCGCTGCTGCGAGAGGCGTGACGAGTGGCGATGCTGGAATGCGATACTGAAAAGGGTTTGGGATGTCTAGTTGTGAGGCAGATGTGAGAATCGAGGCTGCTCAATCTCTCGTTGAGTCACAGTCCCGAAACCCTACACCTTGAACCCTAAGCTAAACCCTCACATCTCATAATGGCGGGTTCGGCGCACAGTCCGTTTTGCAGCTTCGAAGCCTCGGAGCCGCGGAGCCAGAGATGCGCCCACGAAAGGTTTCTGCGGCTTCGTGTTGAGGAAGTTTAAGGTGTTTAGGGTTTAGGCTTTAGGGTTTAGGGTCAAGGGTTTCGGGTTTAGGGTTTAAGAAGTTTAGGGGTTAGGGTTTAGGCCTTCGGAAGTTGAGGAAGTTTAGGCGGTTTAGGAAGACTAGGAAGTTTAGATTTCGGAAGTCTAGGAAGTCTTGGATTGAGGGTATGGGGGCCTGGAGTTGGAGTCTATAGGCTTTAGGGCTTCGGGTTTTGGGAATTCAGGGGCTAGGACGGCTAGGAGTTTGGGGGTGCATGATCAAGGGAGCTTTGATACAGTCAAGCATTTCTTGCTGGCCAGACAGTGTAAAGGGCCGCAAGCCGCTGTGGGCGCGAGTGGGCTCCAGTAGAATATATGACGTGCCCAAGGAATCTCTGCAGGACATGGCTGTTTTGCGAACCAAAGAGATTTTGCAGATTTGTATCTTCTGCAGGGTGTTGAAGGATCCTGGGCTTGGGGATAGACGCCAATGATAGGCCTTCACAGTGAAGCTCCGAAATAAAACTTTCTTTGATTGCAGGGTTTAGGTCTTAGGCTTTCGGGACGTCTTCGACATTGCCTACGCGCTGTTACTGGCGTTGGCTTCTGCGTGGTTACTGTCGCGGCATTGCGCGCCGTAATTTGGCGCTCTC